GTCTATTTTGCATATATGCTTCATTTTTAACCATTTAGGAATTGATGGGCATCTAAGCTGGTTCAGATCTTAACTATGGTGAGCAATGCCACAACAAACGCGGTCATGCAGCTATTATTTGGTATGCTGATTTAATTTGGGTATGTACTAAAAATGAGATGGCTAGGCTACATTGTAGACATATTTTTGTTTATTGAAGAACTTCCATTCTGCTCTCCTCAATTAATTTGCATTTCCCCCAATAGTATATGGAGTTTCTTTTTCTCTGTTTCTTCACCCCTTTAAAATAAAAGACATTTATTCTAATTTGAGAGATTTCCTTGTTGTTTTGATTTCTCTGATGATTAATGATATCAAACATTATTTCATGAGTATACTAGCTACTTGCATTTTTTTTTGAGATGTATCTATTAAGATCATTTGTCCTTTTAAAAATCAAATTACTTGTTTTTCTCAAGTTTTTAAATTATATATTCTGGATATTAACCCTTTTCCAGAAGGCTGAGAAATGTTTCTTCAAATTCTACAACTTGTTTACTCTCTCTGTTGTTTCCTTTTCTGTACAAATACTTTTTAGTTTGCTATAATGTGATACATATGGTTTTGCTTTTTTGTTCTAGGGCTTTAGAGTTTATACTAAAAAATTGCCTATGGCAATATCTTAATGTGTTTCCCTATACTTTTTTTAGTGGTTTCATGTTTTGTTTTGTCTTGTATTTGATCCATTTTGGGTTGATTTTTACACAGGGTGAGAGGGGTTCAATTCTCAGTCTTGTGCATTTGGGTATCCACTTTTTCCAGAAGCATTTATTAAAGATGTTCTTCTCCAAGATTTTGGTGCCTTTGGTGATGGTTAGTTAACTGTAGAATTATGAATTTATATCTGTGATCTCTATTCTGTTCTGTTGTTCTGTGTGTTTTTATCCCAGGACCATGTTCTTTTTTGTTATTTTGTTTGGTTCTTGTTTTGTTTTGTTCTGTTTTGTTTACTGTGGCTCTGGATTATGGCTTGAATTCAGGTATTGTGACACTTGCAGCTTGGATCCCTTTGTTCAAGATGGCTTTGGCTATTCAGAATCTTTTGTGTTTACAGAGAAGCTTAGAACTGTTTACTTCTAGTTCTCTGAATGATGTTATTGTATTTTTATTGGGATTGCAATGAATCTGTAATTCACTTTGGGTAGTATGACTATTGCAACAATGTAAATTCTGGAAATCTATAAAGAGTAGTAGTGTTTCTTCTTTTATCCTCTTCAATTTATTTTATCAATTTTTATAATTTTCATTATGGAGATTTTATAACTTGTTAAATTTATTCCCAGGTATTTTTCCTTCCTTTGTAGCTAATATGAATGAGATTGCTTTCATTATTTCTGTTTTAGCCACCTTGATATTGATGCTACTGATTTTTGTATGTTGTTTTGATATCCTGCAACATTACTGAATTAATTTATCAGTTTGAATAGTCTTTTGGTAAAGTCTAGGTTTTTCTATTAATGGTATCATACTTATTAAAAGTACAGTAATTTAACATCTTCCCTTCATGTTTGTATACTTTATATGTTTTTCTCTTGCCTATTTTCTTTTACTAAAGCTTTTCATCTTATATTTAATAAGAGAGGGAAAAGTGGACGCTATTTCTTGTTATCAGAGTAGAACTATACAAAATAGAGTCTACAATTCAATAAAAAGATCAATAAATTGAATATTTTTTGAATAAAAAACTAAATTGACAAACATTTGCTAGACTAAACCAAAACTTGAAAAGAGCCAAATAAATATTTTAGAGCAGAGCAAAAGGACATTGTGAGCAATATCACAGAAATAAGAAGGATCATTAGAGATTTACAAACAGCTATTTGGCAATAAATTGAAAAACTTAGAGGAGATGCATGAATTTCAGAGCACATACAACTACTGAGCCATGAAAATGAAGAAAGCATCAACATGCCAATATTGTGCAGTGAGACTGAATCACTAATAGAACATGTCTCCAGACTCAGACCAGATTGCTTCTGTGCTGAATTACATCAAAATTTAAAGAGAAGTTAACATCAGCTATTCCCAAACCATTACAAGGAATTGAAAAAGGCAATTCCTTCAGACACTTTCAATGAGGTAAGAACTACATTACCCTGATAGCAAAATTAAGCAAGGGGAGGGAGGGAGGGAGGGAGAGAGAGAGAGAGAGAGAGAGAAAGAACTCTAGATTAATATCTTTGATGAGAAAAGATGCAAAACTTTCCAGGAAAACACTAGCAAGTTGCATCAAACAGCACCAGAAAGATCATTCATCATGGCTAAATTGTATTTGTCTTACACATGCAAGGATGGTTCAACATATTCTCTTTAATAATCACTCCATGTCTCAATAGTATCAGAATAAAATTAAGATAATTTTACATCCCTTTATGGTAGAAATCCTGAAAAAATATTTATGTATGGGTTGTACCTCAGCATAATAAAGCATATATACAGTATAACAAACCCACATCTAACATCATACTGAATAAGGAAAAAGACTGAGAGCATTTTCCATAAAATGTGAATCAAACTTGTCCTTAAAAGGAATGCAATCTAAAAATAAGAGATTCTGAAATGAAGTGAATAATTAAAGTAATTGTCAGGGCTATTATTTAAAATGAATTTAATCTCTAGGAGAATTCAGTTTTTCAATGTTGAAGTTATTAAATACTCTTCCAGCATGGGAGCAGGGTTATTATCATACATAACATTGACAAGAAGGGATTAAAATTATGACATTGCTCAATTTTTGTGGTCAGTACAGCACTTTAAAGTGTTGCTTTACAAGAGATTCCGTGTTATAATAAAAAATAGAAAAGCACACTATGTCATGTAAAATGGTCATATGTGTTTACAGTTCAGGTTGCTTAACCTTAAACTAGTACATGTTAATATAACAGTCCAGAACGCAGAGTGGGTTTGTGTTACACTGAAGGGGGCTGGTGATTTAGCTGAGTGGTTCTGGTGCCTGCCTCTCAAGTGCAAGGTCCTGAGTTCGATCCCTGGTACCAAAAAAAAAAAAAAAAAAATTAAAAAGAAAAAAAAGGAAGGAGGAGGTGGCAGAGGGGGGAGGAGAAAACGGAGGAAGACAGGGGTGTTGGGGCAGGGATTTCCATCCCTGGTACCAAAAAAAAGGGGATGTAGCTCACAATGCAAAAGCCCTGGGCTCAATTCCCACCAAGCAAACTTCTGTGTGTTCTCCCCCCTCATCCCAATTAGGAGCTTCTATGAAACTGTCATGCGTATGCATCCAACCACTTTGGGGAGACTGAAAAGGTATCTGTGCCTCTTAACAGCAATACTGGCAACTTCAGAGCCAGGCACATTCACTGTTCTGTTACCCTACACCAAAGCCAATGCCTGACTTTATAACCAACCTCCATGGAAGTCAAAGCCATCACAATACATTCTCAGGGCCTTTCCCATTGCTCCAGAAAGCTAGAATTTTGTGGCATTAAATTTTATTTGAAAGAGCTCATACTTATTCAATATTAATATTTATCACCTAATTAGTGAGGCCCCCACTAGAACTCAGGAATCTCCATTTCACTAGCCCAGCTATGGCCATGCCTCTCATATCTCAGGCACTATGTTGACAACAACAGGTTACTAATGCTCAGCCACAGAGGGCTGGGGCAGAGAGGACTATAGGAAAAGATGCACCCTAAGGTTAAGCGCCATGGTAGCAAATTCCCCTCCAGGACAGCCTTTTATGTACTTATTTCTTTCCTAAACAGACTGCTTAACCAATTTAGTTGCAATTCCACAGCTAAAAATCAAGCCTTCATGTCTGTACAGAACTTCTACTTCTTGAAGAACTTAAGATATATTTGAGAACAAAAATGTGGTATTAAAAAAACATTGATACAGGGGCCGGGGATTTAGCTCAGTGGTTTCGCCGCCTGCTGCACAAGCGCAAGGACTGGAGTTGGATCCCCAGTACCAAAAAGATATATATATATATTGATAGGAATTATTCAAATCTCATGGCTTTTATCTCACCAATTATGATGTTGAAGGGGAAAATCCACACTCAGTTATATTTCCAGACTACCTACAACAAATAAACAATGTAAACAGAAAAACAAAGTTCTAACTTAGAAGGGCTTATAAACCTACATATCTGAAAGTTTAATTTTTCAGCATTTCTCTCTACTTTCTAATAATTTGTGAATGGGTGCCAACAGTTTTATTCATTTCTTTTTCCAAAGCACCAGCACAACAGACTATTATAGCCAATGGAGTAGTAAGCAGCTTGGTAAAAAAACAAAATACCAAAGGTATTCAAAGAGTCAGAAAAAGGCTGGAGATTTAGCTCAGTGGTTCTGCTGCCTGCCTCCCAAGTGCAAGGTCCTGAGTTCAATCCCCGGTATCAAAAAAAACCCCCCAAACCAAAAAACAAAACCCCAAAGTCTGAAAAAATGGACAAAGATTACAAAACTAAAAGGATTACAAACTACAAGGATATACTGGTTATAGTTTTAGTTTTTTCCCCACTTTTTGTCCCTCCAGTATAGGCCCTTGCACATGTTAGGCAAGTGCTCTACCACTGAGCCATGTCCCCAGGCCCTTTATTTTCATTTTTTGGAGTCAGAAACTCTCTGATGTCCAGGCTGGCCTTGAGCTTCCCATCCTGCAATCTCAGCCTCCTATGTAATTGGGATTTCAGAGGTATGTCACCACACCCAGCTCTACTGGGATCTCTGACCTGTCACTTTCTTCTATTTCATTCCTAAAAGTATCAATGTGGGATTCTGCATCAGTACTACACAAATAAATCTCTTCACTTCTCTAACCTGTGCCCCTGTGCCATTTCACACCTCATAACTTCTGGAAAGACTTGCCTGCATGTACTATTCTCCATCTGTCTCATCCCACTGTCACTCCTGCGCCAAGTTCACGTACAATTTTTCTGATGGAGCTGTGTATGCCCTTCTCTCAGATAATTTTGGCATAACTGAAGCCTTGAAACAATGTCCTTTCTTAGGTCTCTCTTGGTTTCCACCTACCTCTCTGGCCAATCCTATCTCCTGAGTGGATCCTCTTTCTCCTTATCTCTAAGCATTGTTCTCAGCCCCCTAACACATTCCCCCAGCCCTCTTTTTTCTTTGACCTTAGTGATGGAATTGAAGCCAGAGCCTCTTGCATGAACTATACACTCTCATCCCCTTTCATTCTTGGTGCTGTAAATACCATCTTCGTATCTCAAATTCTCTTTGCCAGCCTGTGTTCTTCATCTGAGCTCCAGACTCAAGTATCCATGTGTCTGGATGACAATTTCACATTGCACCCTAAACCCCCAAGCAGAACACTTCATTCCCTTTCCCAAACCTATTTTTTTGTTAGTTTCCTCATTTAGTGCATGGCACTACCAAATACTCAGGAACTACCTGTTGATTTCTTCCTCTCCATCCCTCACTGTTCAATCCATCATGGAATACCTTTACCTCTCTAAACTCAGTTTTAGATATTTCCACTTCTTTATCTCTACTGCTACCCTTTAAATCCAGGCCATCACCTGCCCAAATCTGGATCCCCCAAAGCCTTCTACTTGCTAGACTCTCCTCTTACCCTATCCTGGTAATTCTCTACCTACTGGTCTTTTTTTTTGGTACCGGAGATCAAACTGAGAACCTTGCGCTTGCGAGGCAGGTGTGGAGCCACTGGGCTAAATCCCCAGCCCTACCTACTGGTCTTTTTAAGGATATAAATTAGGAAAATAAGAACCAAGATAAATTATGTAAAGGTACAAATTTCCAACGATGAATGTCATTATATTGTATACCTAAAATGTACCAATAAAATTTAAAAATGTAAATTAGGTCCAACATGGTGTCATCGGTCTGTAATCACAGCACTCTGGGTGGCTGAGGCAGAAGGGTTGCAAGTTCCAGCCTAGCTGAGCAAATGAGGCAGTCTGTCTCAAAAAAGTAGAAAGGGCTGGGGATGGAGCTCAATGTGAAGGCCCTGAGTTTAATCCTCGGGAAGAAAACAAAACAAAACAAAAACACTCAATACTATTATGTTCAAACAAATATAAAAATAAAATTTAAAATGTAAACAAAAAGGGCCTGGGTGTAGCTCGGTGGTACAACGTTTGCCTATCACCCATTTTCATGTCGCCTTCCCCCATTATTGTATAAGACCCCGGGGACCGGGGTGGGTGACCCAGCTGAGGCTGGAGCTCCGGCTGGGCCAGGGTGGGCCTTCTCCTCCAAATAATTCACCGCGTGCGCACTGTGCTCCGGGCACTGGGTCCCCCAGGGACCTCGAGGTCGATTCCGACGTCACCCCAGGGCCGGGGACCGGCGCTTTCCAGCGGCGATCAGGGCGGGCTGGGTGCTGCCGGCCTCCGCCTGCGCCCCGGGGCCTCGGTGGCCTCCTCAACGAGAGGTGAGGCGGGACTCGGGCTCTGTGTCCCCGGGTTCGCTGGCGGGAAGGGAAAAGCGGAGAGAACAGGAGAGGTGAGGAGAGGAGGGGAGCAGAGTGGAGGAGTGGAGGGGAGGAGGGCTGAGGAGAGGAGGCACCGCCCCCCGCCGCCCCCCTTTCCCCTCCGCCCGGCCGCGAGTCTCCAGCGCCACCGTCGCCCCCGGGCTGATGAGGCACCGGAACCGCGGACAACGAGCTGGGGGCCGAAGGGGCCTCTCCTGGTCTCGATCACGCCGAGCGCAGTGGGCACCGGACGGGAATGATGCGATCCCTCGAAGCCCCGGGGGTTGCAGGCAAACAGGAAAGGGGTGGCAGGGAACTGGGCTGCCAGAGCCACTGCCACGACTGAGGACCTGGCGTGCCGAGGCGCACCTGATATGGATAACTTAAGGCAGGAGAGGTTTATGTTGACTCACGGTTTCACTTCGTGATCCGCTGACTGGAAAGCAAACAATATGGCGAGCAGAGCAGCTCCAAGCCCGGGCAGACAGGAAGCCGCTCGAGGAGGAAGAGGCAGAGGCCACACCCCCTCCAAGCCCCACCCCAATGACCTACTTCCGCCAACGGCCCCGCCTTCCCCCCCCGAACCGAAAGCTGTGAGATCAGTGCTCTTGCTGTTCGTCACCTTTCAAAACCCAACCTCTCAACACATGAAATTTGGGGGACATTTTTTATTCAGACTCTTGCACTGTCCTTGTTCCTAAAATGGCAGCCGAGGCAGCCAGGGGAGAAGTGTCAGTCCTAGTGTGTAATAACTAAATGGCAGAGCTAGGATAGGAACGCAGGATGTTTCTTAGCCCACCACTGCCTTGGGCTGAGGGAAATGGGTACTTGAACGAGGCTTGGAAATTTCGGTAACATTTAATGAGTGGAGATAACTGTAAAGGTCTTGGCTTTAATTAGCTGTTAAGACTTAGAGACGGGGTTTGATGCTGAGAGGTTACAATTTTCTCCTCCGTGAAAGTGGCTGGAGTGATGAAAACTAATAAATCACATAAGCAGTGCTTTGCAACTTGTAAAGCACTTTCAAGTTTGGTGTCACTGTTAATTCCACAATAAACTCACCAAGTGTATTGCTTAGGGTTTTCCAGAGAACAGAATCTATAGAAAAAATACAGAATTATGCCAGGGAATTTGATCAGAGGCAGGATAATCCACAATGACTGCCTGCACCTACATACCCAGAGGAACCAGGAGCTATGCAGTCCAAAAAGTTGAAAGCCACAGAACAAGAGTGATGAAGGATGCATCACCAGTCTGAGACTGAGGTTTGGAAGCTCTGTGGAGAGTCACACGTTGAATCCACATTGATAGGCCGTGAAACTGGAGTCTGATGTCCAGAGGTGGTGGTGGTGGTGGTGGTGGTGGTGGT